TTGAGTTTATTAGATGATCCAAAATTAAAGTGGTAAAATATAATTTATTCTTAGTTCTTTGTATGTAATCACTTCTACCCATACTCTCATTCTTTTAATATGGTACAATATTCATTAGCATTATGAAGCATGCGTACAAAGAGAATTTCAACCCAAAAAATAAAAAAAGAGCACCAAATTACATAAAAAGACTATCTTCTATAAGAAGACCGACAATAAAATCGAGAAGTTTCTCAATTCAAAGAAAGTCTTATTCCATCATCAAATCATATCAAACAAGCTTATGTGGTACCCGATTAGCCTCTCTTATCATATGTTTGTATTGAACTTGCTAGATACAATCAAGGAAAACTTCATGCATTATTTAAACATGCATGCATTATGGATATAGGGGTACTAAGAGGCGGATGGAAGTAGGGATCAAGATCGTCCTAGGATCATTTAAAGTCTGAAAAATATATTTGCGAAGATCTTTTGAGGATCCTCCCAATGTTTAGTACTGGTTCTTTTTGTGCTTACTAAATATTTAATGTAATGCATATTAGTCTAGACAGGTTGTATCAACAATACTCAACAAATTTTCTCTACATCAATTATCAGGTTCCTTTGTCATATGCCGCTATCTATTGACATGTATGCAACATAGTTTGATTGATGACAACACACCCACAAAGCATTCAACAAAATACTTAATGATAAGCTGAATTTTTTTTTATGCACTTCGCACTGTGTTTCTATCTAAAAAACTTATATTTACCTTGGTACCTAAAGTTTAAATCCTAAATCTGCGATTGTCTATGATTTTGTGAGTTTGTGACTCTTAATAAACGGTGCAACTTATCATCTTACTTCTCAAGTCAAAGAAGCTGATCCCATCATCCCAATAATGCATTAAAATATAACATAAAAATCAGGAATTCACAATCAGAGACTTAATAGTTGAAATGCTAGAAATAAATATATACATCATAATTTTTTATACATTTGTACAATTATCTTTGTGGTATACCGACTTTGAGGCTAAATGATGCATAAAATATAGAGAAAACTAATGAAAATGAATTGAAAACTTTGAGTTTAACTAAAATGACAACAAAGTGCTGTAAGTGAATAGTACCATGAGTGACTTTTTAAAGTAAAAATGTCTTTAACGTTAAAAGTGAACAATTCCAAAAATGCTTAGTTAAAACTCTCTAATGGCATCTTCAAAATCCCATGGAATGTGCTGAATTGACAAAACGATGGCATGACTTTAACATTTCTTGTTCTTTAATCTCAAAAACCAATGAATAAGACGGCATCCCCAAAACAAATTAAGTACCTGGCATCATGGATTGTCGGGTTTTGTGTCAAAAACACAGATCGATATATTAAGTATAATAATACAATGGTTAGAATTTTTTTTTATTTAAGTTTTTAATCAATTCTATTATAATACTAGTTGTATCTTACTGTGTTTCTGGCACACTTAAATACTCTCGTGTCAAAGGGTTCGGGGTTGACGTACGCGGTATGCCCCATGAAAGCTTGCAAGATTCACGGTGTTACTGTCCATATTTCCAACTTTTGTTCTACCAAACGTGCTTGCTCCCATCACGGTGGGGCTACTGGCCTTCACTATCGGCTTTGATTTTTCTTTTTCGTTAGTATTAAATAAGCACTCGTATTTTTTGGTGCGAATATAAGGACTTGTGTTTGATAACTTGTCAACCAAGTAAGAGTGGTTGATAAGCAGTTGATTGATTAAACACACACTTTTATAAGCCATAACTGCAACTTATCAATCGACTGGACCTAGTGACGTGCACTGCCAGAAGTCAAACTCTTAGAACGACGATTGGAGATTATTAGAAATGCTTGCATCTAGCAGTTACGAAAAGTCACAAGTTTGACGATTTATTTTCAAAAAATGAGAGCCCCCTAATAACAAATTTATTTTTAGTTTTTATCTTTAGCATTAGGTAGAGAGAAAATACATTGGAAATTCAAATGAGGAATGAATAAGAAGTATGAGACAAACTGAATGGAGGTACGTAATTGGAACAACTCAAAATTGTTTTCAATTTTTTGTTTTTAATTTTCACTTTTGTATCATTCGTGCACATTTTTTTTTTCTCACTTTTCATCCATCATCTCTTTTTTCACTCTTTTTTATTTCTCATTTTTTTTAAATTCTTTTCTCATAAAAATACAAAATAAAAATGAAATAGTCATAGTAAACAGACTGTGAGGTTTTTGAACAATATAAAGACAATATCGATCGAGCAAACGTTTATTGAAGTAAATATTTCACTCTTCCAATATAATGAATCTTTGCAAACAAATCATTAGTTTATATATTTGCATAAAATTTTCTTTATCTTTAATCAGTCGCTTCAATATAAAAGTCAATTTATAATTTTTAGTCAAGTAAAATGACTTCTTGAATGTTTATGTATTGTTCTTACGTAGTAACTTGGGCTCCATAACATGTGAATGTCACCTTAAATAAGTAATTTGGACTTCACACGTCGACAACATTGCTCAAATATCATGCATAAAATTGAGGTTTCACTATAAAATCAAATAGCAACATAGAAAGTAACTCAACTACTTATAACATACATGCAAAATCAATTCTTTCCTCAATATGAAATTCATATACTCACGATACGTAATGCTAAATGGGTATTTTGTACAAAAACAATATATGATGAGTGGAGTAAATTAATTGGAGTTGGTAACTGAACCACTCTTCACATGTTATAAGATGTTCCAACATCAAACCACATGGTAAAGATGGAAGCATGATCCCAAACCGAATCACATGATATTGTGCACGATTGATGTGCCCATAACCTGATTACTTGGATCATGTTGTTGAACACAATTCATCACACAAATAAAAAAATGGCATGCAGTTGAGACTCTCATGCGCAAGCATACGTTCATAGAATAATCATACAAAATTACATGAATACAATAATTTTCAGTTGAGCAGACATTGTGCGCATGCTCTTGTATGCGTATGTGTCGACAATATTATTATAAACTGTCTTATTTATTCAGTTCAATTGAGTAGAATATTAAGCCCATTCATATAAAAGTATTTCTATAGACTAATGTGGAGGCTCATCTGGTTTATCTATGTTAAAAGAGAAAAAAAGTTTCCAGATAGAATGTATATTTACTTTCAATTCACTGCGTTCTACGTTAAACTTTTTAAATATTGCCCCTTATATTTTGATTTATTTTAAGTGATGAACAATGACGAAACAATTTTGGAAGGTTGTGCATTTGGAGGGTAATCACTTGTAATTTTAATAATGCTCACAATTTTTTCTTTGATGATATTTTCTTTCAGTTATGTATGAAAGGGATAATAGCATTTTCATTGATTTTTTATTGACAAAAAGTGTTATGTTATTAATAAATAGTGTAGACAGATATTTGGTCAAAAGCCCTTATTCTTCTTCGTTTTGAAAATATGTCAGGCGATGAGTTAGGGCCTAGCACCTAAGCGGTTAGGGGGCCTAGATGAATTAGGCGGATTTGAGTAAATCTATACTTATAAAAAATACATAATCATATTGAGATATGCAAATTACAAAATCAAATGACATATAAACTAATGTATCATAACATATTGAAAATATTAGGAATAAGCATATGATGAGTGTTCATCCAAGTATTCAACAAGTCTCCTACAATTTGTTGAACCAAAATAAAAGTTATTGATTTTATGTCTGAGTAAGAGTCACGACCTAGACAAGTGCCTAAGTAGGTTTAGGTGGGCAAGGCACATACCAAAGGAGGTATGGACGTTATTTCTTAATTTTCAAAAGCCTAAGGTTTAAACGAGACAGTGACCAACCACCTAGCACTTAGGCTAGTCTTAAGCGGCGTTAGACGGAAATTTTTAAAATCGTGACTCTAATTTTATATGCATTAACAAGCACCTTTTGTAGTTTTCCATTTTTCGTTTGTGATGAACAAGCTAGACTCTAATATGATAAAAGAATAATAATTAAACTAATTCATGTTGCACGATAACATGCACACGGAATAGTTTATTTTAAAATAGTTTCACTTGACAGTCTACATTACTTTGCACCATCGTCCCATTTGAGATCCACATCAGTTTAAAAAAAATAAAAAATACACGTACCAAACTGCCACATCGAATAAAATATATATATACGTATGTATGTATATATATTTTTAACAAAAGATATTATATAAAAAATAAGATATCGATGAGTCCACAACTCACCGTTTTTAACAACTAACCCCAAGATTTAGGGTTGGTTTGGTATTGCTGTGCTTTGAAAAAAAAACTGTTTTTGCTGTGCTTTGAGAATAAGCAGCTGTGAAATAAAGCAGTAGAATGTTTGGTAAACTTTTTTGTAGGAATGCTTTTGAAAAAAAAAAGCAGTATTATAGTGTTTAGTAAACTTTTATGTAAAACAGATGTGAAAAAAAGCAAGTTTTTCAAAGTTAGGTTTTGCAGCTTCTTGTTTTTGGCTTTTTTTCACCCAGAACTGTGAAAAAAAGCTAAAGCTGAATGTTTACCAAATACAAAAATAACTCCCAGCTTTTTTTTATATTAGTTTTTTTCAGAATCATCTCAGTACCAAACCAAGGCTTAATCTATTGAACGAGATGCAACGATTTTAGTGGGTTAAAAATATTTTCCTATTTTTTATTAAGTCATTTCAAGAAAATGAGAAACCCTTTTTTCTATTCATTTTTCTACTTTTTCAATTTTACAGAAAAGCAATATATTGACGTTGAAAACTATTCTCGCAATGGAAAGTACACAAATTGTCCACGAAAACAATTACAGCATCTTTGATTGGATATTCCACACTCGCAACACCGGCCACTCCTAAGTGGGGTCAACTTCGAAGTGAGAGAGGGAGAGAGGAGAGAGAGAGGGGACATGAACAGTTGAATAGTAAATAAGCGAAGTCAAGTATGCCGAAGGGTGAAGCGTGTCAGCGACGGTGAGAGCGGTAATAAACAAACCAAACTCGTGAAATCGCAGGCCCAGACACTTTCTATATATACTCACTCCCACCCCTTCTTTGGGATCTCACAGCTCTCACTCTTTCTCCCTGGTTCATTGATCCCACTTTTCGTCTTCGTCTTCTTGCTGAAAATCCAAACTTCCCCAGATTCAGGTACCCCATGTTATTATTGTTATATTTGTCGACAACAAAATACTCGATCATTCTTATCTGGGTCATAAAAAAACCAGCTTTGGTCTCAATGAATGGTGTGTTTGGTATGCACAATCTCCACACTGCACGTGGCTTCTGCCCGTTGATTCCTACATTTTTCAGGCTCTAGTTTTCTGGGTCCTGATCAGAATTTTGTGCCATTGTGTTTCGATTCAATCCGAGATTTCAGGCTCATATGTTCAAATTTTCAGTTTTTTTGGGGTTTTTATTATTTTTCAAGTTCTGAATTTTTGTACTTTTTGTGGTGGGTTAGTTGTCCACAGAGTGAGGATCTGTGGGGAGCAATGGCTAACAGGAATCTGGAGAAGATGGCGTCCATTGACGCGCAGCTTCGGCTTCTGGTTCCGGCCAAAGTGAGCGAGGACGACAAGCTGGTGGAATACGATGCTCTGCTTCTGGATCGGTTTCTAGATATTCTTCAGGATTTACATGGGGAGGATCTCAGGGAAACGGTGAGTTTTTCGGGTTCGATTAGCTGTGAAATTGATTTTGATCGGTTTGTGATGTTCAATCTTGATTTTGGTTGGTACCCGTGATGCAAAACACTTGAATTTGTGATTAGAATTGGCTGCATTTATATTATATTGCTAAAAGTATGGAACTTTGTGTGTGAATTTGAAAACCCATTTCAAATTTGTATGAACCCTTTGATTTTAGTGGATTTAGGGATCCTTTAAGGAACGTACAAATCTCTGTTTTCGATAGAAATCTTCATTTTATGGGAACCCAAATTCTGTTCACGATATTTTAATCAATAGTTTTCTAGGCTCAGTTTGGGATGTTTGATTTGGTCAATGCCTATGATCCAAAGCAATTGAATTTGCTAGTGGAAGTTTGAAATTTGTATTGTATTTAACAATCTATTTAGATATTTTAATCAACAATTTTTAGGCTGTTGGTAGATTGTTTAATGATTCATGAGAGATCCCCAGTGGCTTGAGTTTGAGCTCTTCAGTCGGTTGTGGCTTGGATTGGAGAAAAGACAAAAGGAGTCATTAATGTTGTTAGTTTTGAGTCGAAACTGATTGTGGTGAGTGTTATGAGTTGCACGATTATGGAACACTAACGTCATTTGTGACGTTTATGTTTGTACAGGTTCAAGCGTGTTATGAGCTTTCTGCTGAGTATGAAGGAAAGCATGACCCAAAAAAGCTCTCAGAGCTTGGAAATGTATTAACAAGTTTGGACCCAGGTGATTCTATTGTTATTGCAAAATCCTTCGCCCACATGCTTAGCTTGGCCAACTTGGCTGAGGAGGTCCAGATTGCTTACCGCAGACGACAAAAGCTGAAAAAGGGTGACTTTGCTGATGAAAATTCCGCAACGACTGAATCAGACATCGAAGAAACTCTCAAGAGGCTTGTGGGGGATCTCAAAAAGTCTCCCCAAGAGGTTTTTGATGCTCTTAAAAATCAGACTGTTGATCTGGTCCTCACTGCTCATCCTACACAATCAGTTCGTAGATCCTTACTTCAGAAGCATGGAAGGTGTGCTCTTGAACTACTACTACTACTACAATCTGCATCTTTGACTTTTGTTTGTAGAGACTCGTGTCGTGCAGATTTATGGCTTAGATTCTTATGGCTCTCTCTCTCTTGGACACTCACATTTGTTCAGGATTCGGAATTGTTTAACCCAGTTGTACGCCAAAGACATTACTCCTGATGATAAGCAGGAGATTGATGAGGCACTTCAGAGAGAGGTAGCCATTTTACTTATTCATGTGTACTATCAATATCTTGATTTTATTGACGTGAGCATTAAAAAATGACTTTTGTCCACATATGCATTTCTGAGAATATGTTTGACTCCCATAAAGTGCATTTTCGTCAATTTGAAATTCAGGTAGATTCAAAAGTGGCAAGATTTTCCAAATATTATGTTTACATGAGACAATCCGGAAGGATATTCTAAGTCCTTTAGAATTTGAGCTTGAGCTTGAAATGAAATCCGTTGTCAACTATTCTCCTTCATGTTGGGTTTTCAATTTATGTAGATCCAAGCTGCATTTCGTACGGATGAGATCCGAAGAACAGCTCCCACACCACAAGATGAGATGAGAGCAGGGATGAGCTATTTCCATGAAACAATTTGGAAGGGTGTTCCAAAGTTCCTACGTCGTGTTGACACAGCTTTGAAGAATATTGGGATTGACGAACGTGTTCCCCATAATGCCCCACTTATTCAGTTTTCTTCTTGGATGGGTGGTGATCGTGATGGTATGACTCCTGTTCAGTAACATGAATTGTGCTATCTTGAATGTATGATATATGTGCTGGCTTGTGTGCTTCTGCGCATCTTTCACTAATTTGGATTAACATCTTCTTTCATGGGAGCAGGCAATCCAAGAGTAACTCCTGAGGTAACAAGGGATGTTTGCCTACTAGCTAGAATGATGGCTGCAAACTTGTACTATTCTCAGATAGAGGATCTTATGTTTGAGGTACCTGAAAAAGCATCTTGAAATTGTGTTTGAGGAGTTTCGCTTACTCATTGAAGTGGTTGTTAGGTTTTGGTTTGAGTGGGGTGTTTGTTGCTTTACTATGTTAGTCTCTGCATTTTGCTAATTTCTTTTCTTTTCTGGCAGTTGTCTATGTGGCGGTGCAATGATGAACTCCGTGTTCGTGCAGATGTAGTACTTCACAGATCCACGAGGAGAGATGCAAAGCATTACATAGGTAATCATACTTCTATTGTGGTTGGTCCCTTGATACGATTTTTAAAATTACGTCCTGTGCTGCATTTTCTTAATGAGAAGTAGAGTGAAACTGTTTACATGATGGATTTAAGGAAACTTGAATGATGTATACCTTACACGTCATGCTATAATATACTTCTTCCAACATTTTTCATAAATATTGACTAATAAACAGGTGCACAATGTACTGTCCGAGTAAAATTTTACACTAAGTAAAGCCTTAATAAAACAAGCTTATACTAATATTTTAGAGCGCCACAACCATAAATTGCTGCAGTAACACAATGGCAACAAACCTTAGATCTAGTTTCACTGGCTGAGATACTCTGGAGAAAAAGGAAAATCGGTTTGTATATTCGGCCTTAAAGTTTACATCAGTATTTGAAGATAGCATGTGAATTGCAGTCATATGTTGGATTACAGTTATAGTTAAACTTTTTCCAGTCTTATTCTTCAGTGCATCCAATTTAGAGAACTTGCTTTTGTAAACCATAAAGGCAGATGACCTTTAATATTTAGGAATACCATTTAAAGGATCTACATCCTGTTCACTGTTCAGGCTTCCCAAAGGAATACCTACTGTTGTAGACCAAGAAAACAAGCACAAAGTTTTCCCTCCAATACTTACGGTTTTCCATTCATGCCTTCTAATTTGGCGAACATTGTGCTTCTTGTGATACTTATTGCCTTTGTTTCTCAATTCAGAATTTTGGAAGCAAGTTCCTCCAAATGAACCCTACCGTGTGATTCTCGGTGATGTAAGGGATAAGCTTTATCATACACGTGAACGTTCTCGTCAGTTGTTAGCCACTGGACACTCTGACATTCCAGAGGAGGCAACACTGATTAGTGTCGAGCAGGTACTGCCATTCTTAAGTAATTGTATGATCCATCAGATACAGTGTCATAATATATATTGCCCCTTTATTCTCATTTGGTTAATCGATTGTAAGCCTAACTGTGATTTAAATTGTGTGTAGTTCTTGGAACCTCTCGAACTTTGTTACAGATCACTCTGCTCTTGCGGTGACCGGGCAATTGCTGATGGATCACTTCTTGATTTCTTAAGGCAAGTGTCCACCTTTGGACTTTCACTTGTGAAGCTCGACATTAGGCAAGAATCTGACAGGCATACTGATGTGATCGATGCCATCACCAAGCATCTGGAAATTGGTTCCTATCGTGAGTGGTCTGAAGAACGCCGTCAGGAGTGGCTTTTATCTGAACTATGTGGCAAGCGCCCACTGTTTGGCCCTGACCTTCCAAAAACGGAAGAAATTTCTGATGTTTTGGACACATTACATGTGATATCAGAACTTCCATCTGATAACTTTGGAGCATACATCATATCAATGGCGACTGCTCCATCTGATGTGCTTGCAGTTGAGCTCCTGCAACGTGAATGCCATGTGAAGAAACCACTGAGAGTTGTTCCACTGTTTGAGAAGCTTGCAGATCTGGAGGCTGCTCCTGCTGCTTTGGCTCGGCTTTTCTCAATTGATTGGTACAGAGAGCGAATCAATGGAAAGCAAGAAGTCATGATTGGGTACTCAGATTCTGGCAAAGATGCTGGGCGTTTCTCTGCAGCATGGCAGTTATATAAGGCACAGGAGGAGCTTATAAACGTTGCTAAGAAATTTGGTGTGAAGCTAACTATGTTCCATGGTCGTGGTGGCACTGTTGGAAGGGGAGGTGGGCCCACCCATCTTGCCATTTTGTCTCAACCACCAGATACGATTCATGGTTCACTCCGTGTCACTGTCCAAGGTGAAGTTATTGAACAGTCGTTTGGAGAGGAGCTCTTGTGTTTTAGAACACTCCAGCGTTTCACCGCTGCTACATTAGAGCATGGAATGCATACGCCAGTTTCACCAAAACCGGAATGGCGTGCACTTATGGACGAAATGGCTGTTGTAGCTACAGAGGACTATCGTTCCATTGTTTTCCAAGAACCCCGATTTGTCGAGTACTTCCGTCTTGTAAGCATTTGATACTTTACTTTAATTACAATAGTTTTTCTGCTCTGATTATTTTCGATGTAATGACCATTGCGTACTTGTGATCCAGGCTACACCGGAGCTGGAGTATGGTCGGATGAACATTGGCAGTCGCCCCTCAAAGCGAAAGCCTAGTGGAGGCATTGAGTCCCTTCGTGCAATCCCATGGATTTTCGCCTGGACACAAACAAGGTTCCATCTTCCAGTGTGGTTAGGCTTCGGAGCAGCCTTCAGACATGTCATTAAGAAGGACATTAAGAATCTTCACATGCTGCAAGAGATGTACAACCAATGGCCCTTCTTCAGGGTCACTATTGATTTGGTTGAAATGGTGTTTGCCAAGGGAAACCCCGGAATAGCTGCGTTATATGATAAACTCCTTGTTTCGGAAGACCTATGGTCATTTGGAGAGCTATTACGGTCCAACTATGAAGAAACCAAGAACTTTCTGTTACAGGTAAAATCTTCGACTTTGAGAGAACACCTATGAAATTTTGAGTACATCATAAAACATTGAGTAGTTCATAGTTGTATACCAAACGAACAATGAAGAAATTCATCAGTTTTCTCGGAGCATTTGTCGTGATTTGAAACTGCATGAAATAAATTGACGTTTGCCTTTTTCCCTTGGTAGATTGCTGGACACAAGGATCTTCTCGAAGGTGACCCGCACTTGAAGCAAAGACTCCGCCTGCGTGATTCATACATCACAACCCTCAATGTTTGCCAAGCATATACACTGAAACGGATCCGTGATCCAAACTTTCACGTGACATTGCGGCCACACATCTCAAAGGAAATCAACGAAACAAGCAAGCCGGCTAATGAACTTGTCAAGCTGAACCCGACAAGCGAGTACGCGCCTGGTCTGGAGGACACCCTCATCTTGACAATGAAGGGTATTGCTGCCGGCTTACAGAACACCGGTTAAACGTGTATTTCTGCTCTTTTCGTTATGTTTTTCTGCTTTCGAGAGACGGGTTGTGTCCCGAAAAAACTGAGTTAAATTTACCCGAAAGTGGATGATGCCTTTTAATCATCCACCATAAGGCCAGATATTTGAGCGAACTTGTTTAAGTTCTGTGATCAGATTGCTGTGCAGAATAACTAGTGCCAGCATTGTTATTGTTGGCACAAAATTAAGTAATCACTGAGTGGAACTGTTTTGTTGTGTTTCAATGCAAAATGGCATTTATGTGCTTCATGTTTCATGGCTTGGTTTCTTGACCATCAAATAATTCGAACTTTAAATTCCAAGGATTGTTTTTACACAAACGCAAAGAAGTAAAATGTCGCTTGTATAAAAATTAAAATTATCTACTGAATGTATACATAAGCGAACAATAACAGATAGAAATGTCTCACGCCTAAGACTAAATCCAATCCTAGGCCAAATGATATTTTTTAGGTTTTATTCCTCTCTCAAACTCAATCCAACCCAACCCAACCCATGCTAAGACCTTCTCCAAACCTAGGCTATTTGCTAAATTTCCCCCCCCAAACACCATCCAACCCAAGCTAAAACATTAGGCTAAAAGCCAAATTCCCCCCAAACACGCGTGGACTTGCATCAAATTGGCCCAGTCTCGGCCCGCTCACTCACGGACGCACCCCACGTGGGCTGCTTGCAATCACGTCCCGACAGCGTGGGGGCCCACTGTCAGGGCCATGTCGGCCACTTCTCCAAGCCCAATGGTTCTTTTCCACATCCGACGGCCATCATTTAAGGACTGTTGGTTGATCCAACGGTCCAGATTCAAATTTCATTTTAAAAAAAAAAAACATGTTATTTTAAAATACATTGAATCCATTAGCTGAGATCGAATATAATCAAATCTAACGGTAAAAAAAAAAAAAAAAAAAAAAAAAAAAGATCTAACAGCCCAAATTTAAATCCAACAGCTAAAATAATTAAAAAAAATTTATTTAACTCAAAATTTACCCAAAAACTCTATAAATACCTATGTATTTGTTTAAACATCCACACAAAACTCAAATTTCTCCTACAATTCTTCTAATTTCTCATAATTGGACCTTTGAGGAAGATGTTGTTTTATGCTTGGCATGAGTTTCTGTTAGCGAAGATGATGCAGTTGACACAAATCAAAATAAAAAGGTTTTGTGGGATAAAATCATTGCAAATTATCAAGAAAACTACAACGGCGGCTGATGGGATGATGATGGTGTTTATGATCGGTGGAAGACTATCAACAAAGCATGCACTTTATGGAAGGGAAGCTTGGAGAGAGCCGTGGTTGGTATGCCTAGTGGAAGGAACGCCATAGAAATTGTGAGTTTTTTTCTTGATATTTTATTTGTTATGTACATAATATTATTTTGCAACTAATTATTTTTGTGTATTTTTTGCATAGGATGACAAAGCAATGGAAATTTACAAGACAAGAGTGACACCAAAAAATCAAGTTTTAAGTTGCAACATGCTTGAGACGTCCTCAAGGATTGTCCGAGGTGGGCAGCTGATATGGACCAACAATGGGGAAGATTATTTCAACGTGAAGCCGCACCGAGAAATGTCGGAGATGAAGGCGTTGATGAAATGACCCCATCTCCTTTTTTAGCAAGGCCCCCGGGAAGAGATAAGCAAAAGGAAACAAAGAGAAAAGGGAAGTCCTAAGATCCGATGAGTGGATACTTTGCTACCGGAATTGCAAAATTGAATGAAATCCATAGCGCTCGCCAAGAAGAAGCGGCACGAATGCGTTTGCAACTGAAGGAAGAAAGGGATAGGGAGCAAGATAGGTTTGAGGTTAATTTGATGATGGAGGACCTTGACAAATACACTCCAGAGAGGAAGAAGTTCTTACGTAGTAAGCAAAAGGAAATTTTGCGAAAGTATGCCACAAGCAGTTTATTTCAAGATGATGAATCCTTTGAACCTTATATTCCAAGTCAACCACGAAGTCCATCACCAAGTGAAGATGATGGAAATGATTATTAAGTTTATGTAGTGTATGAATTATGTGCTTTATTTATTGATTGTCGTTTGTATTAAGTTTATGTGGTTTATTATGTGGTTTATGTACTTTATTAAATTTATGTTTTATTAATTATTGTTTCTATTAACCTAGATGTCTTCAATAATTATTGTATTTATTATTCCACACTTTGATGTAGAATAGATGCCTTCAATAATTCAATCTTCATTCAATAATTCAACCTCTATTCAATAA